GGCTCATGAAGAGCCCTGTAGTACCTCCCGTGGAGCTTCTTCTCCTTCCATACGGTCTCCCGGTCGGAAATGCTAATCACTGCTGAGTCCTGCCATTGCTTGTGGGCTAAGGATAGAGGGGTAAGCCCTTTATCACTAGAAATGACGTCATTATAGAATGGATCATCCGATCTCGCCATGAAGTAATCACGGAGGCTGCACACTTCGCGATTATGCATGGTGAGCGCGCTCAGAAAACCACGCCCACCATGCTTTCGCGGCAAGTACAGCCTCATTACCGACGATCTCGGATGATGCATCGGACGTCATTGTAGTGCGGACTTTTCTATCCAGGGCGTTAAGTTCGGTCTGAGTCCACGTGAGTATGCCAAAGGTATACATAAGGACAGGCATGACCCAACCGTTATATGCGTGCGTCTTATTCACACCGGACAAAAGGCTGTTAAGCACTTTGGTCAATCGTGCATAAAACATGTCGCAAACTGAATGTTTCATAGTAGCCTCATCGATACCGATGTTCTGTGACATAACCAGGTATCGGTATGGTTCAGCCTCGGAAAGGGTCTTTAAGTTGACGAGCATAGATAAATCTATGCCCTCCGATTTAGCAACCCTTCCCCCCAACATGAAGGACCGCACACTTATCCGTCCCCAGCTCCATTCCAATAGAATTGCTAAATTCACAAGTGATGTTTAGCAATTCCATAAGATGGGAGCGACTGGAGGCGAATAACTTGAGGTCATCCATATAGAAAAGGTGGGTTACTTTTGTTTCTCTCTTCCGGAGCTGAAATCCTCTCCCGGAGCCCTCCAGTGAGGTACTGAGAGGGCTCAGAGAGAGGCAGAACCAGATTGGACTCAGACAATCGCCCTGGAAGATACCCCTTCTTATCCTTATGTGGTTCTCCGCGGTCATCATCCGCTCGCCCAGATAACAGAGGATCGTACTCCACTGCCCCATACTCTGCTCGAGAAAGTCTCTAACTGTACAGTCAATCTTGTACAGCTCGAGGACCCTCTTTAACCATGTATGGGGCACCGAGTCGAATGCTTTTCTGTAGTCTATCCAGGCGGCGGAGAAGTTCCGACGGTTGCGTTTCACCACTTTGCCAATGACCGCGTCAATAAGGAGTGGTTCCTTGGTTCCACGACCACCGCCCCGACATCCATTTTGAGCGCGTGACATCACCTGATTTAGCTCCAGGTGACGAGTGATTCTCGCGCTCAAAATGGATGTCAGTGTCTTATATATAGTGGGTAGACACGTGATGGGGCGGTATTTGCTCGGGTCTGTGGTATCCTGATCTTTAGGAACCAAGTGAGTGATCCCAGTAGTGAAGAGACTCGGGAGCGACTTCTGATCGAGAGCCTCTTGAAACTGTCGAGCGAGCACAGCGTGACACACTACGAACCCCTTCAGCCAGTAATGACGCAGCCCGTCGAGCCCCGGACTTTTCCAGTTCGGGGCCCTACGGACCGCCTCAGCCACGTCTTCAGGCGTTATGGTGACGGGGTCCATAGGCGTAACACTTGCACTCTGGCTCGCCACAACTTCCATCCAAGGGCCCTCGCTGTGGTTTACGGGATCTTACCACAGGCCACGCCAAAATGCGACAGTGTCAGCCTGATCCGGTCCTGGGCCCGCTCCACATACCTCTGGTTGCTCCAATGATTTATAGAGCCTCTTCTGATCACTCTGGAAGAGACGATTCTAGTTGAACCGTCTTGACCTCTCGCTAAATCATCGAATCCGCTTCCCCCAAGCAGCGATTTTTTGCTTCAGGTCATCTATGCGCTCCTTCTGGTGGGGATGACGGATGCGGAGGGCTGCTAGGTGATCGTACAGCTCCTCGCGCTCGGCTGGCGGCCCGCATGCTGCCGCGTCGAGCACCAGCTCCAGCCGTACCCCGACGACCCCCAGGCAGCGGCCCTTTGCGCGTTCCTCTTTGTACCATATATCATCCATTTATGGGCGCCAAATAACGGGAGACGCCCAAGCCAGGCACCGTTTCGTGGTTCGGTCATATGCACAAACGGACCTTTGCACCCACAATTTTGCCTAGGCACGGCGCTCACACCTCTTGGCAGGGCGCTGACTGACTGCGCCGACGTAGTAGTTTTGTCACATAACTGTTACGTCAGCGGGCGATGGGGTCGTCACTTCCCTACGCCTTATTATTATTATTGGGGTATCTATATAATTTTCTCACCTGGTTGGGTTCTACAAATATATGATTATAAAATAAAATGAAAAGATAAATGTACATAAATATCAATAAAATAAAATAAATACAAAAACTACATAAATAAATAAGATCCAACCAGATGGGAGCCCTCGGCAGGGGAGACCAAAAGGCCGAGGGTTAGGGGGAAAGGGAAAGAAACCGGCGGACGATGCAGGCAGTATCGAGGAGCACCGCCTTCTGCATTTGAGCCGGAGCGGTCCGTCACGGAGTCCCAGTCGCCTCAGATGACCCGCGAGGCTGACTGGGATTAGCTCATTCGCAGAGACGACTACAGGAATAATTTCGGTCGGCATACCACCCCACATGTCGGTCACCTCGTGAGCCGGGTCCAGATAATGGATCATCCGATCTCGCCAAGAAGTATTGACGGAGACTGCACACTTCGCGATTATGCATGGTGAGCGCGCTCAGAAAGCTACGCCCAACATGCTTTCGTGGCAAGTACGCATTACCGACGATCTCGGATGACGCATCCTATGGGACGTCATGATAGTGCGCACTTTTCTATTCAGGGCGTTAAGCTCAGTCTGAGTCCACCTGAGAATGCCAAAGCTAAACATGAGGACAGGCATGACCCAGCAGTTATATGCGTGTGACTTATTCACACCGGACAAAAGGCTGTTAAGCACTTTGGTCAAGCGTGCATAAAACACGTCGCAAACTGACTGTTTCATACCAGCTCCATCAATACCGATGTTCTGTGACATACCCAGGTATCGGTATGTTTCAGCCTCGGAAAGGGTCCTTAAGTTGACGGGCATAGACAAGTCTATGCCCTCAGAGTTAGCAACCCTTCCCCTTTCAACATGGAGGACCGCACACTTATCCGTCCCCAGCTCCATTCCAATGGAACTGCTAAAATCACAAATGATGTTTAGCAGTTCCATAAGATGGGAGCGACTGGAAGCGAATAACTTGAGGTCATCCTTATAGAAAAGGTGGGTCACTTTTGTCCCTCCTTTCCGTAGCTGAAATCCCCTCCCGGAGCCCTCCAGTAAGGTACTGAGAGGGTTCAGAGAGAGGCAGAACCAGATTGGACTCAGACAATCGCCCTGGAAGATACCCCTTCTTATCCTTATGTGGTTCTCCGCAGCCATCACCCGCTCGCCCAGATGACAAAGGATCGTACTCCACTGCCCCATACACTGCTCGAGGAATTCTCTAACTGTACAGTCAATCTTGTACAGCTCGAGGACCCTCTTTAGCCAGTATGGACACCGAGTCGAACGCCTTTCTGTAGTCTATCCAGGCGGCAGAGAAGTTCCAACGGTTGCGTTTCACCACTTTGCCTATGACCGCATCAATGAGGATTGGTTCCTTGGTTCCACGACCACCGCCCCGACATCCATTTTGAGCGCGTGACATCACCTGGTTTAGCTCCAGGTGACGAGTAATTGTCGCGCTCAAAATGGATGTCAGTGTCTTATATATGGTGGGTAGACACGTGATGGGGTGGTATTTGCTCGGGTATGTGTTATCCTAATCTTTAGGAACCAAGTGAGTGATCCCAGGAGTGAAGAGGCTCGGGAGCGACTTCTGGTCGAAAGCCTCTTGAAACTGTCGGGCTAGCACAGCGTGACACACTATGAACCCCTTCAGCCAGTAATGATGCAGCCCGTCGAGCCCCGGACTTTTCCAGTTCGGGGCCCTACGGACCGCCTCAGCCACGTCTTCCGGCGTTATGGTTATGGGGTCCATAGGCGTAACACTCGCACCCTGGCTCGCCACAACTTCCATCCAAGGGCTCTCGCTGTGGTTTACGGGCTCTGACCACAGACCACGCCAGAATGCGATAATGTCAGCCTGATCCGTTCCTTGGCCCGCTCCACATACCTTTGGTCGCTCCAATGATTTATAGAGCCTCTTCTGATCACTCTGGAAGAGACGAATCTGGTTGAACCGCCTTGACCTCTCGGTAAATCGTCGAATCCGCTTCCCCTAAGAAGCGATCTTTTGCTTCAGGTATCTATGCGCTCCGTTAGTTTCTGCGTGATATCCGGCTGGGACAAACTGATATTTGTCCCGGCAAACGCCATCCTAACAGTGCGCACAATCCTCGGTCTATTATTACCCGACCTGAAGCTTGTCAGTCTGCCGATAGGGCCCTTGCTTTTGCGACACGGTCCTCGATTCTTTTTCTCCAGGCTGGGATGGCGCTACTTTGTGTAGTAGCGCGTCCAGCCATGGGAAGTTTGGCGCCAATAATACCGCAAACTGCCACTGCGGCGCCAAAGAGAATTGAGTCCGTCTCGCAAAGGTCCCGGCTGGGTTCCAAATAGTTCATCAGCATTGGGTTAAGAGTCCTCACGATAGCCCGATTTCACTTGCTTAGGGGTATGCGGGGAAGTCGCGGTCGATTTTCGAGAGGCGTGCTGCGCGTTTCCAAAATCGCCTCTTCCAATATACTCCTCATTTGCTCTAGTTCGTGGGAGACTACTTCATCGTCGTTCGATCAACCACAACTGGAAGATCCATGGCGGCTTCCACGTGTGGATGCTGGTCTGTCGAATGTGGAGCTGAATCTCCAGCCATAGCCGATTCATTCGACGACGGAATAGCCTCACGTCGTAGTCGTTCGAGTTCGGCATCATCAAATATGAGCACATGATGTACCGAACTCGGTCTGCCAGGTTTTGTTCCGTGACGGGGATAGAAGGCTCCAGCTCAGCAAAAAAGCAATGCGTCCGAGACCTATACCATATTCCCACAGTTTCTTCCCGTTTCGCCCTATAGTACGCCCGCAATGCGTTTCGTTTATAGATTTTGTCCAACGCATGCGACGTGCTCCACCAGCGGCGGGTGCCGCTTGTTGAGTTCGAGAAAACCCAGCCGACACCAAGCCTTCTGGTGGGGATGATGGATGCGAAGGGCTGCTGGGTGATCGTACAGCTCCTCGCGCACGGCTGGCGGCCCACATGATGCCGCGTCCAGCGCCAGCTCCCGGGCCCCCAGGCGCGGCCCTATGCGCGTTCTTTCGTTTGTACCATCATCCATTTTATGGGCGCCAAATAACGGGAGACGCCCAAGCCCGGCACCGTTTCGTGGTTCAGTCATATGCACAAACGGACCTTTGCACCCACAATTTTGCCTAGGCACGGCGCTCACACCTCTTGGCAGGATGCTGACTGACTGCGCCGACGTAGCAGTTTTGTCACATAACTGTTACGTCAGCGGGCGATGAGGTCGTCACTTCCCTACGCCTTATTATTATTATTATTATTGCTTATGGCCATCCTGTTGTTCTTTCGATCATTGTTACGAGGTAACGATGTCCTTGCGGTGAAGTAGGTAATGGTCCAACGATGTCAACGTGCAGGTTTTCGAATCTCTCCGTAGATGAAAATGTAGCTAGGCTACTTGATGTATGCCTTTGTACTTTGCATTTTTGGCATTGAATGCATTGCTTCGCCCAGTTGCCAACATCTACTTGCATTGAAGGCCAAAAGAATTTTTAGTGATGAGTTTTCTTGTTGTTCTAACACCTGGATGACTGATGTTGTGCAGTGTGTTGAAGACTTCGCGACGACATTCTTCTGGTGGGTATGTTCGCTTGGTTGACTTTGAGGCTTCACATTAGATAGGTAGATGCGTCATTGGCATTGTAATGAATGTGTTAAAAAATTTTTTCTAAAATAAAAGTTTTTCTGAAGTGCTTGATAGTCATGTAAATAGCGAGTAGCTCTCGGTCGAATTTACTGTAATTACGTTGAGTATTGGAGAAATTCTTCGAAAAATAGCCAAGTGGTTGCCATTTCCCATTGCTGTATTGTTGGAGTACGGCTCCTGCTGAGAGATCGGACGCGTCGCTAAAGATAGCAAGGGTAGCTTCGTGTGATGGGTGATTGAGCAAAGCTGCATTTTGTATCGCAACTTTACAAGCTTCAAATGCCTTCGTGGTTTCATCATTCTATCCGATTGACGTTTTATCTTTTTTCTTCGTATTGTGAAGGTAGACGTGAAGTGGTGCTTGGATTAAGCGGCTTTAGGTATGTGTTCTCTGTAAAAAAAATTCATTACAAGAAAACGCCTTAGTTATTCGATGATTTTAGGTTTCGCGTAATGGTGAAACCAAGAAATTAAACTTCTTGATGGCCAAATATGCACTTCGAAGGGTTAATTGTGATTCCGTTGTCTTCTAATCGCTGCAGCACGGTTCGTAGATAGGTTTCGTGCGTTTCTTTATCAGGGCTTGCAACAAGACGATCATCAATAAATGCCAAAACAAAATCCAGTCCATGAAGTACTTCGTGTATGAATCTTTGGAAGGTTTGACCAGCGTTCTTCAGTCCTGGGGTCATTCTTGGAAATTCGAATAATCCCATTGGGGTAATTATTGCTGTCTTCTCTGTGTCTTCATCGCGTACTCTTATTTGTTGGTAAGCTCGGTTGAGATCGATGGTGGAGAATATAGTTTTGTCTGACAGTTGATGAGTGAAATCCTTGACTCACGGCATTGGGTAGCGGTCAGAAGTGGTAATAGAATTAAGTATTCTGTAATCTCCACAAACTCGTAATTCACCATTCTTCTTCGGAACAATGTGAAGTGGTGATGACCAAGGGCTTTTGCTTGGACGGCATATTCCTTGCTTGATCATGTTTTCGATTTCCTTTCGAACTTGCTCGTATAGGTGTGATGCAATTGGACGTGCAGGGCAATAAAGTGGTGGTCCATTGGTTATTGTTACGGTATTGACCAATAAAGATTAATCAAAATACAACTATTATGTGCGTTCCATTTGGCGGCGTGAGACTCGTGTATATCTTCTCGTAGCTACGTTGCTGGACTGGGCTAAAAATGTTGTGCAGGCCGAAGCGCGCGCGTAGTTGGCGAGCGGCGGTGGCTTGGGATACAGCTCCGGAACAGCAAGAAGAAGTGAGCTGCGGCGTTGAAGAAACGACTCAAAAATGGTCGACGGATACATGACGATAGCGACGTGTGAAGACGATGTGATGCTAAATGATATTTGCGGCTGTTTCTTGTTTCTTTATTAGAACGTTAAATATATACGTCAAATTATCTCGCATCGATATGCAGCCGGGGATAATCAGGAAATAAATGTTTTCTTCGCCTTCTGTGTTATGGTAGCAGCAGGGTCTATATTATTTATTGCCGTTTAGGGATGATTAGCCTGGCTGCTACATATATAAGAATCAAATTGGTTTACGGCACAGTACAAAAATCTGCTCCTGACCTATATCTAGCTTCTCTGAATATCTAAATCATGATAATATGTACTGGATTTTCTTACGCTGCATACAGCTATTACAATGAATGCATTTATGTGCACCAACATACCGGCCGATTGTAATGGATATATTTCTGCTAAAAATTCTTAGTAGCATCCACCCAAGCTGGGTGGATGCTACTGAGAACCTCTGCCTGTTCTCTCACCGGTCGTCTCTAATTGGCGTCTCATCAGATTATGAGATTGAGTGTATAGAAAATACACTTGTGTTCACCTTAAAACCTTAAAAATTCGAGTTATTTTAATTTTCAAAAAGTAGTTTGCTTAGAATTACTTTGACACCATTGTTTTGATCAATTCTGTAATCTAATCAACTCTTCTACTCAAAAAACGACGTCGATTGCCGTGAACTGCATCAAAATCAATTGATTCGTTTGAGAGATATCATTGACATAAAAATCAAGAAAAAGTGATTTTTCCAAATAACTTGAAAAATTTCCGTGAAATTTTTTTTTATCTCATCTCATTTTCTAAATCATTTTCTTTCATCTCATCGCATTTTCGCACACTTTCGGTGATATGACATTGACTGCGTCTCGGATATTCTGTTTCAAGTATTGTTACGAGCTTGAGGTTCGTGATAATAAAAACTGCCGATTGAATTACCAAAATTTACACTTTTATTACTGAACACCAATAGAAGTCTTGACCAAAAACCCCCCGGTTTTGCATCGAGGCTCTCAACGGCTTTATATAGGGTGTTCGTTCTCTTACAATATATGTACGCAAACTTGTAATTTATAGTCAGTCGCAATTAAAGAATCGAAGAGTAAAGACACTGTGGTTATCATTTACACGTCATACAAACAAAAGTGTACCTTAACTACATCAACATATGGTCGCAATCGAGCCGGACCGATCAGTGAAAAAGGATTAAGTGCAGGTGCAGGTAAAAAATTCCGGCCGACCGCGTGAACAATAGATCTCGGGCGCTTCAACTCGTAAACAAGTTACGTAACGCTAACGCAATTAGCACAACATATTTCTCGACTTTAATAATAACTGGATAAAAACATGAGTTCTTCGGCAAAGGAATTACTTAGTGCTTTAGAAGATATTGCTGCTTTACTTAAGAAAACACAAACCAACTTGAGGAAATGTCCAAAGACGCGTCTTACAAATGGATATATTGAAACAAGATTAAAAACAATAGACGATTATTGGAATTCGTTTAAGACTGCGCATCAAGAGTTACTAAGGATTACGCTGAAGGCGAAAAGGGGAGTTTTACCTTACTTTCTCAACGAAGATTTTTACATATATGAAGATTTATACATCGTTTTACAAGCCGATCTACGTGATATGTTAACTTCTGTAAATTCGTCAACAACGACGGGTAATACCTCTGTATCCGAGCATAATATGGAGCAAAACACGAAGCGAAAATTCCCTTGTGAAGCTGCCGAGAATTCAATTACCAACATTTAGTGGCAATTACGAAGAATGGCCGACCTTTGAAGATTTGTTTACTTCACTTATACATAACAACAAGACGATCGAAGACGTACAAAAATTACATTATTTAAAATCAAGTGTAAGTGGTGAAGCGGCATCGTTAATACGACATATACAAGTTACTCACAAAAATTATTCGCAGGCGTGGGAAGTATTAAAAACAAGATACGGTAATAAACGTTTAATTGTCAACTCAGTGCTAAGAAGATTGTTTCTTCAAAGAAAAATTAACTCTCAATCAGCAAATCAATTAAAATGTTTATTAGACACAACGACTGAGTGTTTAAATAATTTAAAGAACTTGTCTATTAGTGTTGATTCTTGGGATCCTATTATAATTTTTCTCGTTGTGAAGAAAATGGACCAAGAGTCTCATAAAGAGTGGGAAGAATATGCCTATAAAAATGAGTCTGAAGATTTACCGACGTGAAGCGACTTAACGAAGTTTCTTCAATCAAGATATCGAACATTAGAACTTATTTCACCAGGCCCACGAGAGAAGACCATCAAAGAGCGATCTTTCCACGTTAGCACCGCTTCATCAGAAAAATCCAGTGAATCGTCAACGTCAGCCCCGCCGCGGTCGTCGGAGAAGAAATGTATTATGTGCAAGGATAACCACACGTTATGTCACTGCAAAGAATTTACCAACCTGCAACCTTCACAAAGAGTGGATTATGTGAAAACACACAAATTGTGTTTCAACTGTTTAGTACCGCGGGACATGCGGCTCATAAATGTCGACTCCGTATGTTCTGTCGTATATGCAATAGACGTCATCATTCTCTTCTACACCAAGCTGAAAGGAAAGAAACCAATAGCAAAGAAACATCACACCAATCAGCGTCACATTGCAACCTAGAAGAGAGGGAAGGCATTCAAGTCAATTCAATGATAGCGTCACATCATACCACTAAACAAGGTATTGCATTATTAGCAACCGCTATGGTGAGCGTTCGAAGTGAGCAAAATTACACCATGATATTAAGGGCGCTCCTAGACCAAGGATCGCAGGCTTCATTTATAAGCGAAAAGGCGGCTCAAAGATTAAGGCTCAACAAACAACCTGCAAAAGGAACTGTCATAGGAGTGGGGTCTACTAGAACAAATTTAAATCACGTGGTACAGTTTCAAGTAAGTTCTCGCGATGCTAAAGATTTCAACTTACCGAAGGGAAGTCGAAGAAACTTACCACGAAGATACCCGCTAGAACGATTGCTGCAAATCACTGGTCACATTTAGAAGGTTTGAATCTTGCTGATCCATGCTACAATGCACCAGGCTCCATTGATTTACTTCTTGGAGTGAAGGAATATGCACAGATACTACAACCAGATTTAATCAAGGGTCCAC